AAAGGCCTATTATAGAGTTGAATGGCCCTTTCTCTTTGCGGTCTTGACGAAATTTGGGTTCAGCCCTGCCTGGATTGATTGGGTGAAGGAATGTCTCGGTTCGTCGTTATTCTCTATCCTGATGAATGGGACACCTCATGGTTTTTAAGCCTACTCGAGGACTCCGATATGGCGACCCACTTTCCCCTCTCTTGTTTGTTCTATGCACATAAGGGTTTGTAGCCCTTATCCGAAAGGCTATTTCAGAAGGAAAATTGGAAAATGTGAAAGTGGCGCCTCGGGCCCCTCGGATCTCACATTTGTTCTTTGTAGACGACTCGTATTTATTCCTTCTTGGGTCCCTGCAAAAATGTGAGAATTTAATTGAGGTGCTTAATGAGTACGAAGAACTTAGTGGGCAATGGGTCAACCTGGCTAAATCGGCGATCTGTTTTAGTAAGAAAATTTCAATCCCCGATCAAGAGTTCCTTTCTCAAGTGTTGGGGGTTGGAGAAATGGAGGTCCAAGACAAGTACCTAGGCTTACCCACCCTCGTATCTCAATCCAAAATGGGTACATTCCACTTGGTCGAGGAGCGTTTGATGGAAAGACTTCAAGGGTGGGCCCAAAAGTCTTTGTCATTAGCGTCTAAGGAAACCTTGATCAAATCTGTTGCCTCGGCTTTACCGTTGCATGTAATATCCTATTTTAAACTCCCACTTTCCCTTTGCCGAATTTTGGACAAACTCGTGGCTCGTTTTTGGTGGGAAGTGGAAGATGGGCATTCTTGAATTAGATGGATGTCTTGGAGGAAAATGTGTAGAAGTAAGCATGAGGGAGGAATGGGGTTCCGCAGATTTGAGCATTTTAACCAGGTGCTTTTGGCTAAGATTGGTTGGCGGATACTTAATGAACCCCAGTCTCTTCTTGCTCAGGTGTATAAGGGAAAATATTTTCCCATTGGCAAGTTACTCACTGCTACTGCACGTTCTCATCCATCTTGGGGTTGGCAAAGTATCCTGTACGGATGTGAGCTTGTAGTTCGTGGCCTTCACTGGCAGGTTGGGAATGACATGCAGGCGTCAGCTCTCAATGATAGTTGGGTCCCGACCTTACATCCCGAACCTCCTTCTTTTAATCCTAGGGTTCTTCCAAGAGGGGGACCTCAAGGTGGCAGATTTGATGTGTCAAGGCGAGGGATGCTGGTCGAATGAGAAACTTTCCCAATGGTTTCACCCAGACTCTTGTCGAGTTATAGAAGCAATTCCTTTGTATCCTCGGGAGGTGGAGGACAAGCAAATCTGGCATGTGACTAGGGATGGAGTTTTCACCGTTAAATCGTCTTTCATCTTGCGGTCTTGGTTGATAAGCAACATGGGAGGTGGAGTACGTCCTACGGTCAGCTGGATGGATCGCCAAAGCTAGATACGTCTTTGGTACTCCTCGATCTCACCTAAGCTAAAGATTTTTTTATGGCAAATCTTATATCGTTTCCTACCAACCACGGAAGCCCTTATTGAGATGAAGGTCCCGGTGCATCCTAGGTGTCCGACATGTTGGTCTGCTTTTGAAACTATGGAACATCTCTTTTTAGAGTGTCCGATGGCTAGAGCAGTGTGGGACCATTATGGGTTGGAACACCTTGGCCAAGGCCTTTCGCAACATACTTTCCCCATTTTTCTCAAAAAATTGTTGGCCGTCATTCAGGATCTGCATCAAGTCATGGCCTTAGTAGCGGTGCTCTGGCGAATTTGGAAGTTTCGCAACTGGGTTGTCTTTGAAAACAAAAGTTCACGATTCCCGCCTTGATGAGGTAGTATCTTCAGCAGTTGCATGAATGGGTTAATCTACCTACGGATATGGTGGTGGGTTCCACTGGTATTGTGGATGTGGGTGTTTTGCTGGCCAGCCTTGATTCTATAGTCTGTAGGTGGGATGGAGCGGTGAGACAAGGGTCTCACTCAACTGGAGAGATGGTAATCTTGGATAAGGGAGGAGAGACTATTTTAGCAACTGGTGTTGCCTTCCCTGGGATAGTTGATCCTATGGTTGTGGAGCTTCTGGTTCTCCGGGAAGCAACCTTGTGGTGCTTACAATGGGGATTGTCGGTGGTGAGATTTGAAGGAGACGCAAAGGTGGTTATTGATAGACTCAACCAGGCTGAGGAACAGGATAGCCGGGCAGGTGCCATTTTCCATGAGGTCTTGGGATATTGGTGGAACATGTGGGGTTTAGTGTTCGATTCGTAGGTCGGGAAAATAATAGGGTAGCCCATGCGGTGGCTCGAAAGGCCCTCAATTTGTACCCGATATCGCCTCGTTCGTTTGATTTTATTGCCTGGCTGCGACTCAGGTTGTAACGATCTTTTTCTCAATCAATATATGGTTATCTTTTGTTAAAAAAAAACTTTGGTTCATTCGTGACTAGGCCACACCGAAAGGCTGCGTAAGGAAAAGCCTAACGATTTGGGCTTGGAATACGGTCAATAACCATTGGTTACTCACCTATGAGTAGCTAAATCTGGACCTTTAGATCTAAGTGGGTCCTGAAAATCCAGATCTAAGGGTTGTGAATTAAATGCATTTTATTTTCCCTATTTTTTTAATCGGCTCTTATCTTCTTCGTTCTAACTCGGATTTCAATTTTTTTTTTGCACAGATGGAACGAGTTCGTTGTGCTCTACAAAATGAGATCAAATTTCAATATATTTTGAGAATTTTTTTTCATACCTCCCGTTACCAACTACATACCATATGGTAACTTCTTCATTTTAAAGTCGTTTTTGAAAACGTTTGCTCAGACAGAAGGTGTTACGAGTTCATCATGATCTATTGGATCTATATATTTCGGGGTGAAAAAAATACAGGATAAAAAATTATCATACTTTACCACTCTGTTAAGTGGGTGGTAACTTGTGGTAAACAATGATTAAAGTCGTAAATAACAGTTACTACACTCCTACCATCATGTATTCAACCTTCCTACAGTATTAGTATGTTCATACCATCATGAAACGTTTTCTTACCATATGGTATTAAATAGGAGCATACCATATGGTATTGACTGGTAAAAAATGACTCAATTTATTTTTTATCTAAAAGTATATCAAAGTGAATATCATTTTAATGAGGACAATTAATTCATTTGTGCAATTTTTTTAAATTTTGACTTAAAACGAAAGAGAAATCGTCCGTTAAAGATTAAAGGCGAAAATATAAAAGGTTTTCCATAAGAGAGAGGGATGTTGATGTCATGTTAATGTGGACGGGTTACTCATGGTTACTCACTATAAGGTTACTGACCATATCCGCTCCCAACGATTCATTATTAGCTAATAATGCATTGTGCATGGCTTGCACGTGGACAGCAGATTACGCATGCATGTACGAGTTACTTTGGCTCATTCCATATCAAGATTGCTAGTTGCTTCATCACCATCTGTCACCATTTAGCCGCCATATTTAAGAAGGTGAAATAAAATAAAGAACCATTTGATGGGTTCTCTAAAAAAACGAGTCGTTAGTTGACAAAAAGTGCGATGTTGATTGTCGACAAGCAAACACTCTCGTTATAGAAGGAAAATAAAAGGTTAATATCATTTTTGTCCAAAGTTTGGCGTTGACCTAAATTTTAGAATGAGCACTTCTACTATGCTATGTAGTATTGGTGCTTTAATGTACAATTTGAAGTTGTATCATAACATTAAATGTATAAGTTTAGGTTGTATCATAAAAGATTTTGTATCATTATGTTATGGTACAACTTTAGAACTTGAAGTTGTACCATCACATAAGGTACAAGTTTAAGTTGTACCATAGAAGAATTTGTACAAAAAGTATAGGTACAATATGAAGTTGTATCATAACATTAAAGGTACAATTTCAAGTTGTACTATAAAAAAAAATAATTTATAACACCAACGCTATATAGTATTGTAAAATTCATCTTTTAGAATATACCAGTTATGCCTTGTGAGTTATGGAGCACTTCTACTATGCTATATAGTATTGGTGCTTTAATGTACAACTTAAAGTTGTACCATAACATTAAATGTATAAGTTTAGGTTGTACCATAAAGCAATTTGTACCATTATGTTATGGTACAACTTTACAACTTAAAGTTGTACCATCACATAAGGTACAAGTTCAAGTTGTACCATAAAAGAATTTGTACCAAGAGTATAGGTACAATATGAAGTTGTACCATATCGTAAATGTACAATTTTAAGTTGTACCATAAAGGTAAAATCCTATAGCACCAATACTATATAGCATTGTAAAATTTCTCGTGAGTTATGACCAAGTTTCCAAGGACGTATTGACCCGTGTTTTGATTTATATTAATCATCAAAATTGTCATTCAACGATTTTTTCCCATCCATGACTCAACATCAAAAGTTGAGGTGGCTACGATGTGACTTCCACATCATTTATTTGAATTAAAAAAATAAATAACATAACATAACTTAAAGAAGTGCTCAAATCATTAAGTCTTTCTTGTGTCATTATTTAACAAAATAGGATTTTCGACACAAAAGTGCAGGGTTTTTTACAATCTTATACGTACTTTGTTTCTATATGCCTGAGAATTCTAACTAATGATCACTATCACTAATCCATATTAATAAAATTTAAAACATCATCATACTCACTATCAATTAATAGTAATCCATAAAACACACCCTATTATTATCTATACCACTAGCCCGTGGTGACACTCTCAACGTACAAAACCTTACAACATGGAGAGAGATACAAATCAATACTATTTTTGTCCCTTCCTCCTCACTTTCTTGGTCATCGTGGTCGCAACATGGGTTCGTCGGTGGAATAAAAGGCCGTCGCGTCCATAGAAGCTGCCTATAATAGGAAACCTCCACCAGTTGGTGGGCACCAACACCCACCTCCCGATGCACTAACGGTTGTAGGAGATGTCCAAGAAATATGGCGTCGTGATGGAGCTCCAGCTAGGCGAAATCCACAACGTCTTCATCTCCTCAGCAGAGGCCCCCGAGCAGGTGATGAAGACGCACAACATCATTTTCTCCTCCAGGTCCGCCACCCTGGGCACCGACATCCTCTTCTACGGCGGGCGGGACATGTTCTTCTCCCCCTACAGTGACTACTGGCGCCAGCTCCGCAAGCTCTGCACCATGGAGCTGCTCACCGTCAAGCGTGTCCTCTCCTTCCGCTCCATCGGGTAAAGCGCGAATAGATGTTCTGCTCTAGAATTGAGATGTGATAGAATTTTTTAAAATATAATAAAACAAAAATGGTGATAATATTGTTATTAAAAAGAAAAATTCTAAAAAATATTTTCGTCGAAATAAGAATCTATTAACAATGAATATACATGCCTCTTTTATATATTCATGAAAATGTTGATCAATGACGAACACTATGATATTAATTAATATATTTAAATGCATCAATCACACACCACAATTTTATCACATAATATAGGACTGGATCAACCAACAAACCTACAAGGAGGCCACTAATATTTAGAGGCCTTATTCCAAAGTAAGTTGATACAAGAACTGCTAATTGTACTCATGTTTTCTCTCACAGACTTGCTCATGCCCTAATATCAGGGCTAAAGAGGTTTCTAATGCGGTCGCCCAAATTTCTCGCTCCATCGCCAGTGGCAAAGTTGTGGATCTCAAGCAATTGCTACTTGTGCTGACCACTACCATGATTTCTAGGGCAGCTCTCGGCAAGGCTCCCAAGCTAATGACTGAGAAATTCGTGGAGGTTGCTGAGGAAATGGTGGGGTCGCTTGGAGGTTTCAGGCTATCAGATCTATTTCTTGCCATCATTAATGGATTCCGATCGAAGCTCTTAAAGCTCCATGAAGAGGTCGATTTGGTGTTGGACGAGATAATCAATGACCACATTGCTAATACTTTTTCTGACGACAAAACTGATGACCTTGTAGATGTTCTTCTCAAGCTTAAGAAAAGTAACGATCTAGGCTTTTCGTTAACCATGGAAGCCCTCAAAGGTGTCCTACTTGTAAGAATTACATATACACTTGTAGAATCCATGGGCTCATCGGTTATTTACTCTGTTTTTCATTTTTTGGGTTCCAACATGTGTGCAGGATATGTTTCTTGGTGGGACTGACATGACAACATTAGTGATAGAGTGGACAATGTCAGAGATAATGAAAAATCCATGCATAATGCAAAGAGTCCAAAAATTGGTGAGGGGCATATTTCGGGACAATGTCGATGAAGTGAAGCTCCAGGAATTGGAGTACCTAAATGTTGTTATCAAAGAGACTTTGCGATTGCACCCTCCTGCTCCGATATTTATCCCGTAAGAAACTCTAGAGAATGTGGAGATCAATGGGTTCGAGATCCTCGTTAAAAGTCGAGTCATGGTTAATGCTTGGTCTATAGGAAGAGATCCTGCCTATTGGATCAAGCCTGAAACGTTCGATCCAGAAAGATTTCTTAACTCTACAATCGATTACAAAGGAACACACTTCGGGTATATACCTTTTGGAGCAGGGAGGAGGATGTTCCCTGGCTTAAATTTTGGGATGGTCGTCGTTCAATTCGTGCTAGCAAGTATGCTTTTCCATTTTTATTGGAAACTGCCCGGCGGAGTAAAAGTCGAAGATTTTGATATGAGAGAAGTCTATGATGCCTTGCTGTGGAAGAAAGAAAAGTTGTATCTGTTTCCTACGGCACCTATGAGGTTACGATGAACACTTGAATAATGAGATATGAGATATTATTAAGAAATGAAAAAAATAGAAAACATGATAAAAATGTATGTCGGGTTATCCTCCATTTAGCCTATATCTCTCATTTGCTATTTTAAGACTTGTTCACTTCCTTCTTTTTTGTCAATATAACTTATGAGTGAAAATAACAGTTTGTCTGACTTTACAATCTTAAATGTATCTTCTCTAGTTAAATAGTAGCCTTGTTAGAATATGATCATAGTGTATACTCCAACAATTTATAATGTCTTATTAGTGTGCCGGTTCTTTCCCTTCTAGTTATATGCTCTAGGCCAACAAACTAAATCCGACCATCCTATTTGATTGGTTCGTGATCAAGTTTGAGTTCTTATACGAACATACGATCTATTCGAGTTCCATTTCCATATCTAATTTCTGAACATTATCTAAAGTTTCTAAGTGGAACTCTGAATCTAATAACCTAATCGAGGTTAATTTTTGTTGGTGAGAAAGTATAAGGAATTAGTGGTGGATTCCAACAAGTCGAGTTATTTGTAATTGTTGGTGAAGTTTTTGATGTGTTTGTCTTTTATGGAGGATAAAAATCTCGTAATAAAGTAATTTTTGAGCTAACTCAACCACACATTTCTTCTATAGCGTCTCGGTTACTTTAAGCTACCAAGTTCCTGAATTTTTCGTGTGGTTTCCCTCAATCCCTCCCATCCTCTTCCCCCACCTTTGCCCCCTCTTGCTTAATGATTCGCCCGCCATTTGACTTCATCAATATCAACTTCACGCTATCTGGAGATGCTCTAGGTATTTCGGACCCATACAATGTTGAGCTCCTTGCTGCCCGTGATGCTCTCTTTATTGCGATCAACAAACATATTCCCAAGGTGATCATTGAGGTGATCGATTCCGTGATCATCATTCGGACTCTTCGGATGAGCCGAGTCTTCGTAAATTTTTTCAATTGTCTTCTTCCTTCTCTATCTTATTAGACTTTAGGGCAGTTCCACAAACTACGGACATGAATGTATATATAGAGTGACGCAATAGACCCTGCTAGGTTGTTACTGTTCGGTAGGATTAGCTTATTTCCACTTTGTATTGGACTAAGCGTAATGTACAAGTAGGATCTGGATTAGAATCGGCACACCAGCTAAATGTTGTGAGCCCAAGTTAGTAGAAGCCCAACGACTTTTTTTTATCAGCTAATGCATGCACGTGGACAGTTAATAGTTAACACATACGTACAAGTTGGTTTGGCTCATTCGAAACAGGGCCCAATGATTTTGGGAGGCCCTATTAAAAAATTTTAAAATATGGCCCAAAAATTTTTCCACACAAATTTATTAAAAATTAAAATGATTAAATAGTAAAAAAATGCATTAGTTCATAAAATGATTTCAAAGGAAATATCTATCATCGTTTAAAAAGTAACATCGTCTAGTGTTATTTTATTTCTATTAGCTCTTATCTTTGCATTATTCAATTTTTTTTCTCAATTGCCAATATAGCGAACTCGTTAAGCCTCTTTTGTGTCATTGTAGAGCGCAGATAAGACTTCAACAATTTCAACTTCAAAAAGCTTCTTTCTGCTATAGCAATAGTCACAGGAATAGTTAATAAGATTCTAAATACTATGCTTGCATTAGGAAAACAATCGTCACATTTCAAACAGTTTAAAATTTCAAAAGAAGAATAAATTCCTTATGTAAAAAAATCTTATAATAACTTAATCTTGGAATATAAATCATAACAATCAATATAAGATTGGTCATTATTCTTTCAATATGCATACAAGAAAGACTTCAAACATGAATCATCCAGGGATGAGTTAAGAGAGTGAATTAAAATAATATGAAAACAAAGGAATTCACATAGTAAATAAAACCAATAATTAGTTAATTAATTACTTACATGAATAAGTTGTGGGAACTCAATTACACCGTAGAATATAACAAGTTTAGAAATTAGTACAAACGTGTTTAGAAGAATAATGGAGACAAAATATTATAGTTTGGAATAAAGGCTAAATTACATGTTTGGTCACTCAAATTACATAAAATTTTCACATTTGCCACACAAATTATTTTTCTTTCTTATTTGTCACTAACTTTACGAATTGTTTCACCGTTAGTCACCGGCCGTTAATTTCCGTCAGACTCCGTTAACCCCGTCAATTTTTTGATGACGTGGCAAACGGAATTGTTGAATTGGCTGTCAAGTTGATGAGTCGTGCAATTTGATCGTGGGCCAGCTTGGTGACATGGAGTTTGACCTCTCTAAAGGACAAGTTCTCGCCCAAATCTGGTCGACGAGGGAGGAAAAATCGGGAGATGAGGTGACGGCAGCGGAGCTAAAGAGGAAGGAGGTCAGTGAGAGGTCTGGGTCAGTAGGGAAATGATCGGCGGTCTAGCAAAGGAGTATATCTGAGTGGCGGCACAGGGGTTGATGAGATTGTTGAGGAGGACGAGTGAGATAAAGTGAAGGGGTAGAGCAGGCGATGGAGGATGGTGCGGTGGCTTTTAGAGATGATTTCTACACGGCGGCGGCGATTGCTTCTGCAACGAAAGCTAAGGGAAAAGAGAGTCGAGCGAGGCCAAGGAGAGAAGCGGCGTCGAATCCACGAACTGAGGCAAACGTAGGCGCTCAAGCAGTAGACTGCCCTTCCACACGGGGGAGATTATCCGAAGCATCCCAATCGTCCTATTTCTGCTTCCTCGCAATCACCTCCCCCAATTATGTCGCGACTACTTGCAACCCGGCGTACACAGTCGGTGAAATCTCCAACTAGCGATTCTAATCCGAAACTAATCGTCACCTTCCCTGAACTCGTCGACTAGATCGCCGACGCTGATTCTGCTGAATGATTCTCTGGAATGCCGAATTCGATGCGACGGGGACAGCTTGGCGGTACTCGAAACTAATTAGTCGGAGAGGGAGAAGCAAAACCAGAGTTGCTAGAGGCAGAGGTGAAGCGGAGCAGTGCAGCAACTCTTTTCTACTCGTCGGGGACGGGAGTTAAGAGCAAGGAGATGCTGTCGAGCCCTCTTGTCTCCATGGTCTTGTTTGCCGGCAGAAGGTAGAAGAAGGAAGGGGAAAAAACCGAGAGGGTTATTGCTGGGTTGGGTTATTTTATTAGTTCTTTAGTTTTTTTGTTTGTTTGTTTGGGTATTGTGGTTGTGGCTGACTGGGTGATTAATTGCATGACTCATCAACTTGACAGCCAATTCAAAAAGCCGGTTTGCCACGTCATCAAAAAATTGACGGTGTTAACGGACTTTAACGGAGACTAACGGTCAGTGACTAACGGTGAAATGATTCATAAAGTTAGTGGCGAATAAGAAAGAAAAATAATTTGAGTGGTAAACGTGAAAGATTTATGTAATTTGAGTGACCAAACGTGTAATTTAGCCTTGAACTAAATGAGTAAGTTTCATCTATTTATAATAGGTTTCCTTGCTTTTTACCAGTGCTAGAATTGCTAATTGGAGACCAGCAATTTCGATAAAAATGAATTGGAGACCAGCAATGCAAGGGAGTAGGGACAATGGGACGCTGAAGAAATGGGCCTGAATTAGAACAGCTAAAGCAACGGATCCATGATTTGATTTACATACCCGTTGATCATTTGTATTGTATGGGCTCAAAGCTAAGCCTAAATTGTATCAAGTAGTTGCAAATATGTGTATAATGTAATGGGTAGAGGCCCTGTACTGGCGGGCCTGCCGGCTGCCAGCACAGGCTCAGGGCCGGGCCTGATTTGAAAAAGATGCTTTAGAAAAGGTAGCTAGCTGGTTGGTGGTTAGGTACTTAGGTAGGTAGGTAGGTAGGTTATGTCTGTTAATGGCACATATTCTCTAGCGAGCTAGCTCTTCTTAATCAAGTAATTAACTAAGCTTTTCATAAATTGTCACGAGCTTGTCTAAAAACAACATAGAATCGAATGTACTCCATGGTCTAGACTCCCATCAAAAATTAATCTCGCCAATGATTTAGACTACAGTGGCTGGCACGATCAAAGCTTTGAAGTTCTATCTCGGATTCATAAGCTTTGAAGTTCTATCTTGAAACCTATTGGAAGAGGTACATGCATATGCACTGCCCTCCATATTTTGTGATGAACCCCTAACTCACGGGTCAAAAGTTGCTTGTAACTCACAAACAAGAATACAAAATAAAGCGTCGAAAACCTGTTGTATTTTACTATTTGATTTATCGCGGGCTAATACAGAAACTACAGGTTATACTTAAAAAAAAACCCTACTACATAAACCTAGCTATAGCCGAACTCTACCAACTCGGCAACCTAAAGAAGAGTCATAACTAGACTAAATTAAGCTCATCATGCAAGCTACGTCACTAACCACTTGCTAACACTTAAACAATAGTTACTAGCCCAGGTGGTTGGATTCTTGAAAGTTGGTGACACATGTATAATATTTTCACTACGGTGGTGGTTTTATGCATGAATCCCAAAAGAAGGTCGTGAAAAGAGCCAAAGAGGCCATATTTTGTTAAAAGGAGGAGAATTCTGAGGAGCAATAGCTTTTAGTAGGCTAGGTATACGTACGTAGTTCCACACCATACTGAATCACATTGCAGAGCTCGTCACATGGTAGCTTTCGGTTTTCGGCTAACGAACAGGAGGCGAGGCGAGTTAGCTGTTGTGTAGGGATGGTTATGAATTAAGAGGCAGACATCATTCTTGTCCTCTTAATTAGTGAGGCAAATAATAGGGAAGCTTAGCTACTTACACGATATGTATATGTATCAATTGAATCCCCAAAGCAATCATCCACTGAGATTGCAGCTTAGCTAGCACGATATTTATGTTAAACATATAGTCTGCCATTTGTTGTATTATTAGTACGTAAGTGTTAGTGGCCCAATAGAGTTAGTAGATTGCCTCAGCCCATGCAACCTAAACTAGTAGACCTGACAAATGAGGACCCGACCCGTTGACCTAACCCGAACCCGCCCGAAAAATAGAGAATGGGTTGAGGTTTTTATAA